CAACCAAATAAACAAGCCTGATCCCCCTTCTTCAAACCAGAGTCCAACACCAACGATGAAACGGATGCGATGCGTGCATCGGCATCGGCATCACATCACATCGCATCGGAGTGAGCGATGCGGGGCCCCGCATCGCATTGTCCGCATCGGAAAAACCGATGCGGAGAATCGGCATCGCATCGATTTCCCGATGCGATGCCCGATATTTTGCAGGCGATGCCGATGTTATCGGCAGGCATCGCCTGAGCCTCCCTCCCGAGTCCCCTGACATGAGGAGGGACTTCAGGAGGGGTTGTAGTATGCCTGCGAGTCCGAACTCCGACTCGACTCCGAGTCACTCCGGAGTCCGAACTCGACTGAGAATCGCCATGAAAGGGCTGCTCATCGACTCATCGGCGAACACGACTTTTGCAACTTTTGCAAAATCGACCCTTCTAAACAACTCACCCATTTCCGGAGGAAGATCCTTTCCGCCAAAATCAAGCCCGTCCTCGAGATCAGCGTGATTGACCGGCTCTTCTACACCAAACCTAATGAGCAACCACCATCGTCATCAATCATAACCACAGCATCCAAAGAAGAAGAAGGGTGTTCTTCTTCTTCTTGTATGGTCGAGAAAGTGGAGCCGATCGACTGGAAACCTGAGTATACTCATGCTAGTGCCCTGCTTGGATCTCCACCCCCATCGGGTCCGCCCGACCTCCCCCAGCCAAGCCTTTTGTGCACTGGACCGGCGCCCGGATCCGTGCTCAACTCGCACTCCATCTCCTCCATACACCTTCCCCTCCTCTTCCTCCTCCTCCTCCTTCTTCGCTTAGGGTCTTTCAGCCCATTGGAGCCGCGCTCGGCCACGTTTCTTCGGCGTATATCCTAATTAAGATGCACAATTTTTCTTATTCCATCCTTTTTTTTAAAAAAAATACACATGCTTTTTTAAGCCGATGCGTCCGATACGGCCGATAAATACATGCATCACATCGGTATCGCTTAAGCGTGTATTGCTAAAACGATGCGATACCGATACAGGGTGATTTATCGCATCGTATCGCATTGTTTCATCGTTGCCAACACCAACACCTCCTAGCTTGAACCACCTCATTTGTTTTCTGCTTTGTCTTGAGTATGACAGCAAGTGTTGCTTTTAGAAATGCAAGGACATCTTCAGTTTCATCCATCCACTGCAGGATTTTGTCTAGTTCCATGTTGTATGTTGTATGTGGTGGGTTGTATATCTACCGGACTACTGGCAGGTGAACTTGTGCCAGTCAATAACTGGAAGTGACCCCCGACCTCTGTGAAATGAGGTTGCGGCCTGCAGAAAGCAGGTGAGTTTCCCCCTTGGATAACTGGAGATTCTCTAACTTGGTTGATATTTCACAAGGTACATTGAAATATTACAAAGTCTATGAGTAGTGTAAAAGTGGGTAGTTGTGAATAAGGTTAAAATTAACAGAGGAATTCATTTCTGAAGTGAGATTGTATTAAAATATTAATATGAAAAAGTTACAGTAGGGACTTGAGTGAAACAGGGTGCTTCAGCAGTCTTTTGGCCAACTTGGCTGGCTCTAAGGTTGAAAGATAAAAAGTCTTGCAAATGGCAATTGGAAGTCCTGAATTTTCCCTTTTATTGGCCAACTGGTTGAGATTGCAATGAATTCTTGGTGTGGTTGGGACGTCATATTCTAGGATTGGATGTGAGGAAAAGCCCAAAGGGATCAAAAAGGCTGTTGTAGCCAATTTTTCACAATTTGATTTTTCAAATTTTCATTTCCATAGAAAAAAATGTTATTAAACCATTTCTTGGCAAATTGGTTGATTTTCATTCTATTTTTTTCTTTTATCTGGCCCCAAAGATTTTTGTATTCCCTTTCCATCCAAACTTCTATAAAATGCCAGAGAAGTGAAATTGATGCCTTGTTTGTCCCTTTCCTTTTTATAAGAATTATTTGCTTCCTTTCTTTCCAGTGGCCCATCTCACATGACACAGGTTCATACAAGAATTTCTTGAATTCATGAAAAACTTGAATTGCTTTTCTCATTTCCTTGGGATAATCAAGTTTATCCTCCAATTCTTGGTCTTTACTATAAGGGATGATTGTAATGATCATCTCAACATAAAATAAATAAACTGGGAAAATATAGGGAAAATCAAACAAAACTGTCTCATCCTTTAAGTTTTTGAAATCAATTTGTGCTTGATCTTGCCAATATTCATACCATATGTGTAAATCATTCATGAACATCTCCATTTTGTCTGGAATTTGCAATGCTGATAAACCAGGGGTATTTTTCTTCAAAATACCACAAGCTTCATAAAAATCCCCTGTATTTAAAAATAAATCTTCTTTTTTATTTTTCAAGATATAAGTCAAAGTTTTTCCTAGAAAACTGATATGTTCTTTCATGTGGCTGTGGGGCATACTTCCACCTTCTAAAATTTTGGTGTCAAATTTCAATCTTCTCAAATGAGATTTCCTGGCCTCTGGATAGCAATTTTGCATATTTATTGGGCTTTCAACCTTGACATGAAATTTCACAGGATATCTTTCTTGTTTTTCTGCATTAGCCACAATATTTTGTGGCTTTTTTGATGCATCCAAATTTCCTGTTCTAGGGGATTTTTCAGGCACTTTGAGTCTGGAATCACAATTGGAAATTTCTAAAGGCAGATTTTGTGCAGCTTCCCAATGAGGTTTACTTTCATTCATCTCTGATTTTACAACATATGAGGCTGTCTGTAATTCAGTATACTTTCTTTTAGTTTCCCTGGGATGATATTTTTTTGCTATTGAGTTGACCAATCCAGGTCTTCCCCCAAGTTTGGGATATATTTGTTTTATGGAATCCTCATTTTGAGTTGACTTATTTTCTGCATCTAACACAGAAGATTTTATCTGATTAAAATCAAAAGAAGAGAATTGCCAATCATTTTCTAAACTGGAGATTAAGTCTTTTGTGGTGCAATAGTCTTTTTGATTTCCTCCTTGGCTACTGGATTCAGAAACAATCGGTCCAACAAAATGGTGTTCAATCTTGGTGGATTCCTTTGCTTGTGGCAAAGGAAAATTCTCCAAGGGATTGAAGAATTGGAAAACATGTTTTTGTTTTGAAAAATCATCTATGCTTTCAACAATATTATATGCTATAGGCCTCTGGCTTTCAATCTCAACTTCTTCCAATTTAATCTTCTTTTGATCATTGAAATTTTTGGAAAACTGGGGTTCCAAATTGGATGGCAAAACATCACCTTGAACTTTTTTTTGATGTTTTCCTAAAGATCCAAAAAGGCCTATAGATTTCTTGTCTGCGACTTCACTAGTTTCTTTCAAAGATTTTTCATTTCCAATTGAGACAGGTGAAACATTCACAAAACAATTTCCCAACAAATCAATGTGTCTATTGGCATTCTTGAAATCTGCAACAGGGTGATTGTGTGGATTTGATGTCAAAGAAAATTCAGTCGAAGGCTCTGAAATCCATCCAGCAGTACATCTGGACTGATTGGTTGCACTGGTTGAGTTGATGATCAAAAACTCAAGAATGAGATTTCTGACCCAGTTCATTTTTTTCAAGATCATGAGTACCAACAAACAGAAAATCTTAATATGTTGCTTGCTTTTTTAAATTCAAAGATGAATCAGTAGTGTGTTTTTATTAATGAAGTTAAATAGAGATAAATTCCAATAGATATTGATTGGAAAAGCCACTTTAGCTGTGTGAGTATTAGGTAAAGGTGTCAAGAGAACTTTTTCAAATCAAGTTGAGGGAACCAAGTCACACATGGGTAGCTGAAGAGCTGGAAGATATGATGAGACACTTGGAGAAGGGATGCAAGGGGGTGGGGGAGTGGGGTGTACACAGCTTGATCAAACCTGGATCATCTCAGACCAATTGTTTTATGATAACCAGAGGAGAAACAAAATTTCCCTACCTGCGTCCAAGTCTGTACCATGTACACAGGTTTAAACTGTTTTGGTTAGGCCGATCAATGTAAATTTTCAAAAAAAAAAGTCCCTGGTTATTTGCACAAACTAAAAAGGAGGGAATGTAAATTCCCAAGTAGTCAAATGTCGTCTGGGAATTTGTGTTTAGGACATTCATGGCTTGCTAGTTATGTAGGGACATTTGTCCATTTTGTGAGACAGATGCTAATTCTATGTTGTGATATGGCAGTCAAAGATGGCCTGGAAAGTCAAACTAAGACTCATAAGTTTTTTTTTATTATTAAGCTCCTTAATGATTGTGTCCTGTTTGAAGTAGACACAAAAATAACAAACCAAAGTCAAGAAGGTAGGAAACCATTTTTTTGTGAACTCGGGCTCTGAGAAACATACTCCCACTTGTGTTGAATCTCCCTATATTACATATTCTGCTAACCTAAAATACTATCAGCTGGTCTTGCATCCAAGGGGTGAGACCTTCTGAGACTTTCTAATAGCAATAAAATCAAGGATTATTCAAATTTTGAGTTTCAAAATTTGGGTTTAAGGGGGCATTATAAAAACCTCAATTGATTCAGGAAGAATTTCATAATGCATACTTTTGAGATTCTGAAAATAGATTGTCCATAGGCCATCATAGGGTGGAGATAAGTATAAGAAAGGTGCAATTCACTCCCAGCAGATTGCACAGTGAAATAAGGGGTTGATTTTCACCATTTTCTTTATCCAGTTTGTTTTTGGAGGGGCTTTCCACAACACCAAAATTTCTCAAAGGGAATTCATGGCTTACATTACATGAAGGCAGACACACAAGCCCTCTGGAACAAGGGACTTGGCTGAACCCAAAGTACATCCAGGCCCACCAAATCCATTAACTTGTTCCCTTTTCAGGGGGCTATGGAGAAAATATGGATTGGATATGTGAGGGAGCTGCACAGAAACTATCAGCAGTCCCTCACAAATTTGTTGCCCAGGCTGGCCTGTATATTTCTTCCCAGTTGAGGATGTAAAGGGTTGGAGCAAGATTCCAGTTTGCCCCTATTTGGGGTATGTATGCATGTTTGATGGTAAAGCGTATGTGGTTGGAGTCGAATGAGTATGTGTTTACACAGGGCATATGGAGTTGAGCCCCTCACAGCAGAAAAAAAAATAATCAGTCGACCACCTTGAAAGCCATCGCCGTCATACTCTCGATCGGCGACTCAACTTGAACTAATCCCCAGCAGTCATCAGCACTTCAATCAACGATCTATTACCATCCGATGGACCACGACGCAAGACAGAGATCCACAGACATAAGCGAGATCCAGAACCAATCAGGATCAAGGCAACGGAAGGACAACAATAACGAGCCAGGCGGAGGAAATCCTAGACCAACGGCTGGTGAAAATCAACATCAAGAGGACGAAGAGGAAGAGGAAGAAGAGGAGGAAGAAGAAGAAGAGGAGGAGGAGGAGGAAATTGAGCAAGAGGAGCAGGAGAATGTCGGTGGTCTTGCAGAGGATCCCGCCGAACCCGACGAGAACCTTGTAGTCGATGACAGCGCACATGAGCAACTGAGTCCAGGAAGAGTGGCCCCACGAGACGAGCTAAATTATGGTATGAATAAGATTGTCTCTGATTCCGATCGATCGTTTTCTGTGGACTAACTGATATCTAACCTTCGTTTTCCTTCGAAGATACGGACACTTCTGCCTCTGTGACCGACTCCTTGACCTGGATATCCTGGTTTTGCTCTCTGGCCGGTCACGAATACTTTGCCGAAGTCGCCGAGGACTTCATCGAGGACGACTTCAACTTGACAGGTCTAACGACTTACGTTCCGTTCTATAAAGAAGCATTAGAGATGATCTTGGATGTCGAACCTGGTCAGTCCTTCTCTCCAGAATACTATCTTTCGTTCTCTCGTATCTCACCGACCTGTTCGCTGAATTCTATGTTTAGAAGATGACAGCGTCAAAGTACCCGAAGTTTCGCTCGTCGAAAGCTCAGCAGAAATCCTCTACGGTATGATCCATCAACGATACATCCTCACGCGGCAAGGATTATCTCAGATGGTAAGAGAACTTTTGGGCCAATAAGACCGTGTTGAGTGTGATGAACTGATAACCGACGCTCGACCTTATTTTCATAGAATGCCAAGTACGAAAGTGCCCATTTTGGTTATTGTCCCCGGGTGTACTGTCAGCCATCGAAGGTAGTGCCGTGTGGCCGATCGGATGTCCCAGGAGACGGGGAGGTCGTTTTGTTCTGTCCGAACTGCATGGACATCTATCACCCGCCGAGCAGCCGATACCATTGCATTGACGGTCAGAAATTTTGAAAACTATGCTTGTTCCTCTTTATATAGACCAAGACGAGTACTAATATAGGATCGCTTCCCTCTTTATTTAGGTGCCTACTTCGGCACCTCGTTCCCTCATCTGCTCTTCCAAACCTATCGCGAAAGTACCTCAATCCTCGCCCCTTCGCCGACCGCCTCCCTCTCCTCCCCCGAGCCGCCTTGCGACCTCCAATCCAAGTCCGGCTTCATGTCCGACTCCGTCACCCCATACAACTCCTCGCGGTCCAAGATCTATGGACCTAGGATCTATGGCTTCCGCGTCAGCGAACGTGCTCGCAGTGGTCCTCGAATGTGAGCATTCTTAATCCCGTCCTTCCTCTTAGTTGAGAAACTTTTGATGCAACTCTTGTTGATTCTTTCTGTGACACTTCTTCGAAACAAGGCAATGGCTCCGAATTCGACCTCGGACCGAAGAACAACTCCGTCTGGGGTTAGAGTATCGCGAACGAGAGCCAGTGGAAGAGGTTGAAGGCTCATGACCAAGGTCATCGAGCTACTCGCTGTTTTTTTTTTTGGGGGGGGGGGGGATGGGCGGGGTGTAGGGTGTATACGAGGCATACGAGCTCCAAAGGAGTTTTTTTGTCATCTAAACACTGCGTCAAACTGTTTGAGGATAACTGAGGTCTCCTCAAAAACCATTCCGTTTATTTCATGTTCCTTCTATTGTATGATCTCGATGTCTTGAGCTCATCACGTCTTTCTCTCCTCTCGACACATCCTGCTCATTAATCTCTCTTCTCTTCTCTTGTCACCTGTTTTTTGTTTTGTTTTTTTTTCCTCCCACTTGGACCAATTTATAACTTAACAAATAGTCACATTTTTTTATCTCTGTGCTGATTTATATTGGAGCCAATATGCCCCATCATTCTAATGTGTCTTCTTCTCCTTAGGGGCACAGGGGGTGCATAGACCAAAATTCTTGTGTCACTGTTTTGCAATTCAGAACTTAAATGTATCAATTTAAGTTATATTGATGATGAGGATTGAGTAAACTTCAATGGGGAAAATGAGTTTCAAACAATTAAGCTCAAAAATTTGCTGTATTATCTCCTTATTTTGCAAAATTTTGTCACAATAGGAAAAAGAGGAAAAATCTGGGTTGTCTGGATTTCATGTAGTAAATTAATAATGCTTACATACAAGAAATTGAAAATTATGAAAAAAGGAACTGATCACTGGTGTTTAGCAACGGTGAAAGCAATACAATACAATACAATACATGTATTGGGCAATACAGTGTATTGTATCTTTTCTTCAGATACTCAAAAAAAAGGTATTGGGTATTGTATCTAAAATCAGATACAATACAAAGGTATTTTATCAAAAAAACTACTACACATTTTTTGGCCAATTTGGACTGTATTCAACAACCCTACGGGGCAATACAAAAAAGACAGTATTGTATTGTTTTGTATTGGTGACCAGATGCAATACATTTCTATAGTATTGGTTTTCCAATTTTTCCAATACAATACAGATACAATGTATTGGGATAAAACAGATACAGATACTTTATTTTATTGGTTTTAGCGTTGTGTTCAGCAGTGCATCAATCTAAGGTTGAAATGAGGCACTGGAATTCACATTTGATAAAATTTAATCCAGTGTTTTATAACAGCTGGTTTTACTTGTTTCCCAAATTTTTATTTGCATAATCATTCATTTCCTGAATCAACGGTGAAACGATGTGATGCGATGCGATAAAAAGCCATGTATCGGTATCACATCGAAAAAGTGATGCATTGCATTGCAAAAGCGATGCATTGCATCAGAAAAGCAATGCATTGCATCCGCATTGTATCGGAAAGCGATGCAAACCGATGCCACCAAATTATAGTGCATCGCTTTGCATCGCTTTGCCGATGCGATACTGATACACTGTATCAAACAATCCGATGCAAGCGATGCAATGCGGGGCCCCGCATCGCTCTTGCGATGCGATGCGATAAAGGCCCGATACGATGCGATACCTATGCATGCATCGCATCAGTTACATTGTTGCCTGAATCCTAACATAACTAAGTCTCTCTATGGGAGGGGTGATGCTGTCCTGCAGGGAACCTCCACAGAGGGGACTTATGTGCTAAGAAGTTGCCGCTCTCCGCTGAGAGGATGTCTAAGTTTTTGATCCTTTCTCCTGAATCCACTTATTAGTCACTGGATACAAAGTCACTCACCAATAGGAGGGGCTTTTCAAGGGGAGTATTCCTATCTTATTCTTGAGTTTGTGAGGCCACTTGGGCTTTTCCCACATTCACTTTTTGGTTTGGGATTTGAAGGATGCTGCAGTACTCCATGCCACACGACAAATACAAAAACAGTGGAATGGCTGTTTCTCCATCAAGCTGGTGACTTTGAAAGATAAATTGAATACACCCAATATTTCCATATTGATCACTCCTACCCAATTCTAGCTATTGCTGATTCACTAAATGTTGCAAGTGGACCTGGGTACTTGTGGTGTGTCCAGGTACAACTGTTGGTGTTTTTCACAATTATTTAACACCCAAACCCATACAAAGAACTGGCCAGAGGGTACCTGTGTACACCCCTCAGTCTTGATATCAATCTGGATATCAGTTCTGCCACACAATCATCCACCTAAATGGCAGGTATTACCTACAGGTACCTGCTCATTTTTTGCCCAAATTCAGACATCCGGACCCCAACACAGCATCTGTACTCTGTAGGCAGGTACCTGCTCTATGTGATGGGTACCTGCTCATGGGTGCTAGTTACCTGCAGAAAGGTACTGCTTGGCAATCCTTATTATTCACCTCCCTTTTCCAAATGAGAAAGAATTCTTTTGGACCAGATGACACTGCAAAAAAAACAATAGAATGAGGATGAAAAGGATGAAGTTCAATTCTGACCAAGTGGAGAGTATACTTGTCTTGTTTCACAAGCTTGATGGGCAGTTTCACACATCCCAGAGTGATACCAAGGGGCTACAGATTTGGTAGAACTACCGCCTTGGTACATTTTTTGGACCCAAATATGGTCCTACTTTGCACCCTGTGACTGCCATTGTTGTGATGTTGGAATTCCAATGAGTGGCCTCTGTAGAATTGTTTGCACCCTGGAAATCATAACCTCACCAGTTCCAAGATCTCCTCTTCTCAGAAATTGAAGGCAGGGTCCTTGGTGGCCTCCCAAAACAACTGGAAGCTAAAGGACCCTGGATAAGCAAGATAAATAAAGGGTCCACCTTTTTGCACTCCAAAAAAAAACCCTTGCACACCAAAAAGGTGTGTGTGAACGTGCACTCCAAAATTCCTGGAGTGTGCCATGGTGTACTCCAGGTTAATTGGATTGGGAGCCCATGTAATCCAATCTCCATTTTGGAGCAGTGCTCTGTGGAGTGCACTAATGGATTTGGAGTACACAGCCATGCACTCCATCATCTGCAGTGGTGCACTCCTCAACATAGACTCATAGTGGAGCGGGGAACACTGCCAGATATCCATGAAGTTGAACTCTACAGAATTCAGTATATCATATCCCCTTATCCCCTGAAACCAACCACCATTGACACTCATCCTTGATCTCATACTCCAAACAACCATCTCACTCAAATTGATGCAAGAACCAAAACAATGTCAAAGATTAATAACAAAACTCAGGTGACTTGTTGGTGATCAATACTAAAAGCTTACTCAAATATCTCTCTGTCTGTTGACCAGGCCCTAATGGCTTTCAAAAATTACAAAAAAATCTGACAAGCGCAGAATCAAAAATACCATGAATTGAGTGTGATGTCAGCCTTGGGGTCCTAGAAAACACTCCAAATTTTTGGAGTGGAGCTAATATGTACAATCCAAATAACTTGGAGTGAGCAGGATTTGGATTTGCACCCCTAAAAACACCTGGGACGTAACGTCTTGGAGTACAAGGGTGTGTACTCCAAAGATTCTTGGAGTGCACAAACATGCACTCCAGATTTTTTGGAGTGCACAACCATGTACTTCAAAAACATCAAATTTTGCTCCTTTTAGTGTGCACTCCAAGAATTGTCGGAGTGCACTCCCACGCACTTCAAGAAATCTTGGAGTGCACTCCTTTTTTGGTGTGCACAGGGGAAATTGTTGGAGTGCAAAAAGGCTGACCCTAAATAAAATGAAGAGAAAAAAAAAGAAAAAAATGATGGGATGGCTCCAAAGAGCTGTCCCCACCACACAAGGGCCTGCAAGGACCACCCTTACCACTTGACAAGGGTGTGAAACACCTTGCCAAGCAAGAGAATGCCTCCCAGCAACTCCCAAATTTGGGAGTCAATTAATCAACCCTCCAATCATATTAGGGCAGTTCACGTTCTGCTGATGTTGACCATCAGCAGTCGAACCTTGTTAGAGCATCATTATCGGTTCGATAAGTTGACGCGAGTTTTAACTCGCATGAATTGGCAAGTTAACTTATCGACCCCCATTCAGTCGCACCGGTGTAGTTTCCTGGGTGTGATTTGGAGTGGTGGTGTGTAGTGTGGGCAGGTGGACTCCAAGTTGGAGTGATCGCACTCGCTAACTACGTTGGTAACCATTGCTACAGTTACCAACGGTTAGCTGAAAACGAACCATCGAGGCAAGTTATCACCAACTTAGCTCGGTCCGTGCGGTTGAAATTTGGTGGTAAGTGGCTTAACTCAAGCTAACTTAGCGACCGATAATGATGCTCTTAGGATTCCTATCTTAAGGTTTATGGGAAAGCGACAGAGCTTAGTGGGAGGCTCCCCTTTGGAGTCAAAATCCCACAATTAAAGTTCACAAAGTTTGTGCATCAGCAAACAAACCTTGTGCCACATCAGCAGCAGTTTTGGTGCAACATGAACTGCCCTATTAGGGCAGTTCATGTTGGCCCAAAACTGTTGCTTACCTCAACAAGGTTGGTTGCTTATGCACAATTTTTTGTAAAGCATGAGTGTGAGATTTTGCTTATAAAGGCAAGCTCCCCACCAAACATTATTTACAAACTACTCTCCAGGGAAGTCAGCAAAGGCTGATTTTGACAAGGTTTGACTGCGTTTTTTGAAATGAGCAAAGCATGACCCCCCTTATTTGCAACATTCTCCCATGAAATGATACCTAAAGGTTTTTCTTCTTTTGCTCTTCATCACACCAACATGGAGCAAACAATTTTCTTTTTTTGATCTTGGATAATCAAAGATGAGCTTCTCATGATCTGATGATTGCATGTACCAAATTCACTGCAAACAAGCAATTGATTTCAAGACCCACTCAAGCTTGCTGTCGCTAAATAAATAGAGAACAAGGGTACAATTACCTATATAAGTTTGAATGGATCAAACTTAGCAACATTGATGAAAGAAGTATGTAAATAAGTATGTAATTGTTGAACTATCTATGTAGTTGTCAAAGGGCTGTGTGTTGATGTGAATATGTTATAGTTCAGTTTGTGTTTCGGTATAGACATACTCTTGGCTGAGATGCTTATATGTAGTCTAACTAACCCCGGTTATCTTTTTAGCCTGTCAGGTGCCCTCCCCCTTTTATGGCAACTTAACTGACCTCTTGACCATCAACACAACTTGCCCCAGCCAGCCACCCAACCAACATCTCAAACAACCAATCAACAACCCAACAAATATCAGAACTCTCTTCGGCCTCAACTTCGACAGCACACATAGCCCAGCGGAAACCATCCCCTTTGTTCCTCAAAATAAACTCCCGACCTTCGAAACTCACCTGACAGAATCAGTTACCCTCCTCAGCACCACCCTACAGTACGACCACCATCCCCACTCGATTAGTTACCATTTCTAACACTTTCCAGCCCAGTCCTTTACGTCGTACAACTATGATAAGTACCCTTTCCATCTCTGTCACCGTTATGTCTTCTTAGGCTTTTCACTTTTCCATCAAAAACCCAGGATAGATTTCTCTTATCAAACCTTCATACAAAAAAGTAGACTACCAATCTCAGTCGTGCACAATGGTTTTCGCCATCTATATCTTGATGCTCGACCCATTTATGACTCTTCCCATATTCGGTCTCGACCACAATCTCTCCCACAATAACAACAACAAGCATAATATAAATATTCACCATAAACCGGACAGCATCCGAGAAAGAGGGAGAGAGGTACAAAGAGAGAGACTAACTTTGATCCGTTTGATTCTTCGTCCTTCCTTGCTTCGGGTCTGAAATTGCCGACCTTACAGTACACCCAAGCGTCGGATCGAGACAGATGTGATGAAGATGTAAGTCACACCCTCCTCTACTTGCCGGACACACACTTTTTTGTTTCTCTCAATCGCTAATAACCCTTGCGTTTTTTTGCGTTTTTGTTGTTGGTAGGTTGATGTCTGATCATGAGGTGACTTTGGTTAATGATAGCATGCAGGAATTTTATGTTAGGTTTTATGGGCCTTCGGAAAGTATGTATCTTTCTGCTTGATCATCAAAATTTCGCTTCTCACCCCCCAACATAAAAAACACACAAGAAAACATGAGTGATGAAACTAACAAAAAAAAACCCCCTGATAATTGAAACCAATAGCGCCATTTGCGAATGGAGTATGGAAGATACATGTGGAGTTACCGGACCAATATCCGTACAAGTCGCCGTCGATCGGCTTCATGAACAAGATCTACCATCCGAACATCGACGAGCTATCGGGCTCGGTGTGTCTGGATGTAATCAACCAGACCTGGTCGCCGATGTTCGATTTGATCAACATCTTCGAAGTCTTCCTCCCTCAACTGCTCCGTTATCCTAATCCTTCCGACCCCCTCAATGGCGAAGCTGCCGCTGCTTTGATGCGCGATCCTAAGAGCTATGATGCTAAGGTTAAAGGTTTGTTCTTTCTATTTTTTTATCCAAACAAAAAAAGTTATTGTCTTCTCACATAGTTGACTTTTTGGTCCCTCTCTTTCATGTTTAGACTACGTCCAAAGGTATGCAACAAAAGAAAAAGCAGATGAAGCAGGCTCAGAAGAAGATGAAGAGGAGGATGAGATGAGTGATTTAGGAAGTTTTGGAGAAGAAGACGACGAGCCTGCTGGGGAACTCGAGCTATGAACTTCTTCCTTCTCCTCCTTGTCTCCTTCCCCTTCTTCCCCTGTCTTCTTTCCTTCTTCTCATGTATTACCTTTGTTCATCATCATCATCATCCTCTTTTTTTTTCAAAGAAAAAGATATAAAGAAGCCTTTGTTGTCATTGTATTGTATTCCACACATATATAAACAGCCTTTTCTCAAAAAAAATATACACACACAAACACAGAAAAGAATTTGGTTTCTTTCCTTCCTGTCTCTCCCCCTCCTTTCACTTTTGTGTGTTGGTTTTGTTTTTGTTGAACTATGGAGGATCCACAATGCCTTGTTTTTTTCATCCATTTTTTTTCAATGTCATGATGTATACCCTCCTGTCTTTT